CATCACTGTCTACACATGCACCCCTATTAGGGCACAGTAAACTAATTAACTCCACTGTAAAATAGTACTGGTTGGTACAAGTATTATCCTACAATGGAGTACTTTTGTTTGCTGGGACTGCTCCACCCTGAGTCAACATGTTATGATCCTGGGCTCATATATAAATGCTGATCCTGGGAGCAAGAAACTGTGGTGTGAACTGCATGGGAGTTTATTGCCATGTGCTAACTGCATGTGTAGATGCACCTACTATCTCAGTCTGTGTAGAACTATAGGAACTCAGCAGGATACTTTTAAGTCTGGTTGTGAAATGGTGAAAGGAAAGTCAAATTAATCCCAATTAGTTATGTTTTCCATTTAATATTTTAAGGATGTTGAGCTGTAATATTTTTGGTCAACCTTACTGTACAGAACCTGCTTAAATACTGGCAAAGCAGTAGCTGTGTGATTTAATTTAGGAGAATTTTTAATTAGATATGCTTTTCAATCACCACATTCTGTATTTCATAAGCAGTCTGCAAATGATGAGTGATGGGAGCAGTTAATGAACATCTAATGTTTAACTATCAAATGAGTCATGAAACCAATATTATAATAATTGGGCCCCTATGACATTAAGTTTTCAAAGTCCCAAATTCACAAACAAATATGTAAGGCAATGATCAAGGCAGCATTTTCAAGGAAAAAAAGAAAGGTAAGTGACTATTTGTCATGGTTGCACCCAAAGGCAGGACTGATTTGGGGGTTTGCTGTGTCATGCATGGCTATTTTCCTAAACTTGATTTACTACTGTAGTGTTTGGTTTCTATTTACAGCTTGTCTTAAGTTATGTTCAGTTTTATCTTGTTTGTATATTATATTATATCAAATAGTATAATACTAATTGATGTGAAAGTATGTTTATAATATTATAGTGTGACTTGAATTAAGCAGTGAAGTGATTGTTTAATTTGAGCAGCAGGTATCTGCCAAGCCAGGCAGAGTTAATTACACCTCGGAGCAGGAGTATTAGTCATTCACAATTGAATGCAGAGCCCTATTTGGTAGAGAGGCACCAGTCCCAAGCAGGATTTCAAAAGGAAACAACTCAGACGAAGATTGTAGTACATTTCAGAAGGTTTCACATTGAAAGGGTTTGTCTCTCTGTGACTAATTGATAAACTGCTAATTATATTTGCTCCTATCTGTATAAAGGAAAAAAAATTCAAAGACATAAACTTTATTACATTCTGTGAATTCAGTATTCAGAGAATTGGGGATAACACCTGGCATGACAGACAGATGCATCTCTGGGGTGAGGAAATTATCTATAATATACACATGCTCCCCAAGGACTGAATAGAAAAATAAGGTATATAAGCAATGCCTTCGGATGAGTCTCATTGCCTAGAGAAATTCTTGGGGCTGTTTCCCAATCCCTCAGTTGGCAAAAAGCTGAGATAACGGGGAGAATAGCAGAGAAGCTGCTGGCTGGAAGTGCTGACAGGAGCACAGGAAAACTGCTCATTGGTCAGAGGGAAGGGATTGCTTTCTTGTAAGAAAAAGCAAAATGAGGTAAATTTTCTGTTTCATAGTTTCATAGTTGGTAGGGTTGGCAGGGACCTGAGGAGATTATCTAGACTGACCCCCTTTTGTGGCAGGAAAGAGTACTGGGGTCAGATGACCCCGGCCAGATGTTTCTCCAGCCTCCTTTTAAAGACCCCCAGGGTAGGAGCCAGCACCACTTCTTTTGGAAGTTGGTTCCAGGTCCTAGCCACCCTGACAGTGAAATAGCGCTTCCTAATGTCTAGCCTGAAACTACCCTCTGCTAGCTTGTGTCTGCTGTTTCTTGTAACTCCCGGGATTGCTCGGGGGAACAGGGACTCTCCCAATGCCTGATGGTCCCGCTTGACTAGTTTGTAGACTGCCACTAGATCCCCTCTCAGCCTTCTCTTTTGGAGGCTGAACAGGTTCAGGTCCCTCAGCCTCTCCTCGTAGGGCCTGCCCTGCTGACCCCTGATCATGTGGGTGGCCCTCCTCTGGACCCTCTTCATATTGGCCACATCCCTCCTGAAGTGCGGCGCCCAGAACTGGACGCAGTACTCCAACTGCAGCCTGACCAGTGTCACATAGAGGGGGAGGATCACCTCCTTGGACCTGCTTAAGATGCATCTGTGGATGCATGACAAGGTATGGTTGGCTTTCCTGACTGCATCCCCACACTGTCGGCCCATGTTCATTGTGGCATCAATAATGACTCCAAGATCCTTTTCTGTCTCAACACTGGCGAGAAGGGAGTTCCCCA